AGCCCAATGCCCAATTGACTTTAGTAAACACAACATCAATCAAAAAGAAGAAAACTATGAGAAAATACCAAAAATATCTCAGCTTTAGTGGTTCAGCATATTTACAGCACAAACCTAGTTTGTGTGTCATTGCGTTCAATTAATCATGATTTTTATTTAAAGTCATATCGCACAGCCCTAGCACCTCAACATCCATCCAACATCCAAACACCATTTTAATCACCACCTCTTAAAAAAAGACAAGTATAAGTATTTGTTTCCTAAATAAACTCGTTTCACAAAAAACTGGATTTCACAGCAGTTGCCAGTGGTACAGATTCATACAGTCCTATGTAGATAAAACATATTGACATTAACATTAACATTTCTGTTAATATGTTTTTGTTTTTCTTTGTTATGTCTGACTATGACACTGTCTTATAACAGAAATACACCACAACCCTGTTTCTAAAACAATTAGGCTATTGTGTACAATGTAAATGAAAGCAGAATGAAATAATTTGTGAATCATTTAAAACATGATGTTTTTTGTTTTGTTGTTTTTTTATCTGTGTGCTAGTTTAGTGGCCAGACTGCTTCGAGCTGATAGGAAAGAAAAAGTAACTCAAATGACAACTCATTACAATCAAAAACTAACAGCAAAGATTTAAAGCAGTACTGAAGTCTTACTTGGTACTATCAAGGTGAAAGTAAAGTGTCCCATGAGTGTATCACCATCTTGCTTGTTGTCACCCATGTTCTGAAAAGCATTATCTTTGATGGTATGGAGGTGGAGTGACATACATGGCATGGGTTACTTACTTGTCTACAAAGGCTTTAATGCAAAAGCATGCTGTGCTATCCACATGATGTATTTTTCAGGGAAGGGCTTCCTTATTTAAACACTAAACTACACTTATATTTTAAACTTTGTATCAAAAGCGAGACTCATAAGTTAAAGAAGCCTGAGAACTGTCAGCCACTGAAAACATCTGAGGCATAATAATAACAATGAATAACAAAGATGGCACAGCAAAAGTGGAGCAAACATATACTTCCAAAACTAAAGTGGCTGGTGTGTCTATTGCCCAAATGTTGTAAGAAGAGGAAGTGATACATCACTGATATTCTTCTAAAACAACAAACACATTCTGTAAATTTGTCCTTGACATCGAATTTAATGATCGTGTAGTTTTTAAAAGAGAGAGTTTTACTATTTAGAATGTATTCTTTGCAGTACTTGCAATGTGTTTTAACTATTTTACAATCATCTGTTTTTGTCAATATTGTCCTCAGCGGTCCAACTTTCCCTGGAGGCTAACTCCTCTAAAACTGGTTTCGCAACATTATCCGGCTCTGACGCTGAGTTTTTACTGTAACCAAAAGTCATGTTTGAAAGAGCAGTAAACTGTACCAGTGATTGGCTTGGCGATGGCTGGTCAGAGGTCTGTTGCGAATTTGTCCTGCTCACGGTCAGCCGCACTTCTCCACTCGGAAGAGTGATGGTGTGAAACTTCCTCTGCAAAACTCTCTCTTGATCTGGAAAACATCCATAAACAGAGTCACTGAAACAGCCTGCAATTAAACACAAATCCCCCCCCAAAAAAATATTTTACAAATAACCGACTGTCCTACCTTCTTTTTCCTTAAAACAGATTTTATAAACTCTTCCTCCGAGTTTTTCCACATTTCCGCAGTCGCCACCCCCGGAGTCTCGCCTTTTCTGAAAGTATCTCCTCACTTTCTCCTTCTCTCTGTCTGTAAAGTCAGTGGCTTCAAAAAACAGTGGATACGGATATTCATCCATTTTATCTGCAATTCTACACTAACACGAGAACTTTCAGCCCGTCTAAAACTTGGTTGTGCCGCTCTGTGAGTGCCTGTTTTTGTTTCACTTTCACTTTTCAAGTATCGCATCCTCATACTTAAACTCATACACCCAGCAATGCAAAAAGTCCGCATTTAATTTTCAGGGGCTTTTCAGCTCACCTACCTACTCTGCAGGTACTTTACAAGGTGTTTCAGCTGTCAGAGTATAACTCTAAATCATATTTATGTCTTAACATTTTCACGTGTGTTATGAATAAATCTTCCTTTTTTCGGTACTGGTACTAGTTTTATTTTGTTGTATTTATCCGCGACACCTTAAAGTCCGTGAAAATGGGCATAAACCGGTCCGTGGTGCAAAAAAGGTTGGGGACCGCTGCTCTAAATCATATTTATGTCTTAACATGGTTTTGAGAAAGACATTTTACCAGTAATTATGTGAGCTCTGTCATTAACTCAAGCTTTAAAACATCAAAGAGAATTCTACAGATATGGCTTTTACTAAGAAGGAGGTAAATAAGCTCAGGAGATTTGTGGCAGTGACTGATTCATGTGATGAGGTCCTTTATGGCCATATGTCATGCAGTGAACAATAGCATACATTACATTGATTCTTTAAACAATGGTGTAGGAGCCATTTTGGGGTTAATACCTTATGTGGCCGCTAGAGGTCACCTTTTTCTGTTTTGTTCATGTAAAGGTATTTAAGGTAGACGCACGTAATCGGCGTCAGGTGTGTCATAAATTGTAAGAAGGCAAACAGTTTGAGACCGCTGCGCTGTTATGTTAAGATGATATGGGAATAAAGACCAAAAAGGACAAGATAAGAAGTACTGGAGTTATTGGACTGCTTACTTAATTCATATGTACCAGTGACATCGCGTCACCCCCGTTAACGACCACCTCAGTCGCTTCAACCGTAGGCTTAGCCTCTACAGTTAGAGAAGTGGCATCAGTTTGTTAAGATCAAATTGCTGAACAAATTATATAAATATGTTAGATTTTTCATTCTCAAAGAGTTTATTTTAAGAGCAAACAGTATATGTAAAAATTCACAGGGCAAAAAAAGCATTGTTGATTTAATACATTTTAAAAACACTTAAATTTTCATAAAGCTACAGCTACTAAACAAACTCCAAATCCTTTATTATTCACTGCTGAGGAAATTAAACATCTTTCACTTTAGTGTGAAACACTACAGTTACTTTTGTGCTCATTTTGGTAAGTCATCAGTTACAGATTTGTCTTGGTCTTCCACAGTGTTCTTCCACATTCTCACATGTAGCTTCAAGTAGTAATCTACAAATATCTAAAGCTCAGAATCCAAACTTTAGAGTCCAATTGAAGTTAGCTTAGTTTATTATGCATTAACAAATAATGACACCGTTTTTCAACATATGGTTTGAATAACATTATTGAAATGCTCATATTTTAGATGTAAATTAACAGAAAGACCAGAGACCTGACATAAATTATAATTTGAACTGTCTCGACATCAACAGTGATCTGTGCCTCTTGAAATATGTCCTTCCCATTCAAAGGTGCTTCAGCAGCCCCGCCTACAAGGGCTGGGAAAATCCAGACTGCGCTGTGGCAGAAGTAGTAACACAAAGTTACACTTGGCCTGTCTTGAGCAGCCAGTTTTCTTTAAATTTAAGTTCAGGAATTTAAGCACAGAGACTTTTGAAGATGGATTTATTTGCTATTTAATGTTGTGTGGTTGAGCGACTAATTACTTCTCCAGTTTTTCCACAGAGTGACTATTTCATTGGCTGTTCAGTTAATAGTGAGTTGTATAAGAAGATAATAAGAATAACAATAAGAAGATTGCTTTTATCAGAAGAGTCAAAATGTTGTTCAACACAAAACAGCAGCCATGTTGCAAAGCAAGCTGCTGTCTGCACTCACTGTTTAATTTAATTCAATTCAGTTCAGTTCAATTCAATTCAATTCAGTTTTATTCATATATAACACCAAATCACAAAGGTCGACATTTCACATCGTAAAATAAAGACAATAATAATGCAGATATAAAGAAAAACACACAAACATCAGACAAGTGCTATGAGCAAGTGCTGACAGTGCTGACCGAGAGTGGGAAGGAAAAACTAAAGCGTAACTAAAGGAGGATTGAGGGTTATCTGCACTAAACATGTGCTTTATCAAAAATTGAGGTTTTAAGCCTAATCTTAACCCACACTATTTTAAATATCCCAAGAACCAAAAGTAAGCCTGCAGTCTGAGAGCAAAGTGCTCTATAGAGGTGATGCGGTAGTATGAGGTCTTTAACATAAGATGGGGCCTGACTATTCAAGTTACTGATGGTAATGCTGTGTTGAAAATGTATTAGCTGTATAGGAAATGTTCCCCACGATGAAGCACTAACAGAAGGTAATGAGGTAATCTGGATATGCCTGGTTATCATTGAAAATAATAAACATGCTTGGATTTGCTATTTGGTCCACCAAACAATCATAACGGTCATTGGGCTGATTGCTGCGAGGCGGAGGCACCTTCATGCTGCTGTTGCCCTGAGTGTAAACACCAGTGAGGACTCGGGCCACAAATACTCTCTGAGAACCATCAGCAGCTGGCATTGAATAGCCGGGGTTGGCTGAATAGCTGCCACTGACAGCAAAGTAGGTCCCCTGACCAAATAAGGTTGCTGAAAACAGAAAATAAAAGAGAGACATTTAAAGTTTTGGAATTATCAGACATTTATATCACTTCTCAGGTTAGATGTCTTTTTTATGTTTGAAAGATTCAAAGATCTTGTTAGGTGGTTTAAAAAACACAACACAATCCTCTGAAAATGGTCAGGTACAAGGACTGTAAATTTGTGAAAAAGCAAATGTCTGGAAAACGATTGTATAGACCACCCTAAATATTACAAGAAAAAATGGCTGCTTGGAAGCAAAATATAAAAACATGAAGGGTAGGTCAAAACATTTGCAGAGCACTGTAATGTTCTGTATTAGAAAATAAAAAAAAGAATATCAACAAAATAAAGCAACAGTGACATCAAATGTTATAACATTATTATAGGATATTTTCTATGCACTGGTGTTCTATAAACAGAATCAGGTGATCATACTGATTAAAGTTGATTGGATCAAAGGATAATTACCATGTTTCCCAGAAAAACTCCTGTTGAATCCATTTCTTATGATGGACTCACAGCTGTCCTGACTCGTCCCGTGATATAGAAGCCTTTCACGTGCTCCCCCTTCCCGTCTGTTCTTTTCAGAAAGCTTCTTCTTTTGCACTTCATAGCTTTGCCGCAAATGGACATTCTGCAAGCGTTCAATCTAACACAAAAAAACAAAATGTTCAGCTGTTCAAGTTTCCTGTTCAACAAAGTTAAATTAGATTTCTGGTAAAAAACCACCCACTTTCAATATATTCTTCTGAACTGTTTGCGTGAAGGCCGCCTTTACTTTGAGGTACTCTGAAGAGGAAGGCTCCAATGCAACCACTTTTAGATTTTCACCACTAGCCATATTGTCCCAGTACAAAGGAAGAGTAAAGTCTGGAAAAAGTTAGACCAGTTAACCAAAGAAGATTAAAAAAAAGGTTTCTAAAATTATTGTTTCCAAAGACAAACGAATCAAGACAAAATCCATACTGCAACTGTCATAAATCCTGAGTGCAGCGCAATCAGACATAATCTCACAGAGGGCTTCCAGAAAAGGTAAAAAACGAAGGCGTATATTTTGTGCACTACATAAACTGACCATATGGAGTAACAAAGGGCTTGCTTTGCTCACATGAACACTTTTTAAAATAGTGATCGGGGAAATTAACATGAACTTTAAAACATTAACATGAACTTTAAAAATAAAGAAATGCATAGACAAACGGAAATCATGATTAAAAATATGTCAAGGAGCTCTAGCTCAGATCATAAATCCCATTAAAGTATTTTATCACCACTCTAATGTTTGTAAGTCTTTTGACATTTAAGATGTGCTAATTAGGACTCGACAGCTTTTCCAGACCACTCTTCTTACCTGAGTGATTCTCCAGTCGTTTTAGCTTGGTTTTTCTAGCTAACAGACTTCTGGCTTCCATCTTCTGCAGATCCACGCTCCACACGTTTCCGTGTGTGTCCACTATCTCTTTCTTCATATCATGCTCTAGGTTATAATTATCTGTTTTGGGGAGCCTTTCCCAGCTACCATCATATCCCAGGATGCACCACGCCACACAATGGTACAAATTATCCTCCTCCCTAACTCTGACTTCTCTCCGTAGACGAGCAGCAGCGTGAAGCATCTGTATCAGCTCGGTGACCCCATCTTTTAACCCGCTGACTACCAAGCCTCCATCTCCACTCTGGTCCTGCTGTACATGCAAACCCTGGGCCTCCACTAGCTTCTGCAGATCCTTTATTTCATCCTGGGTGAAGTCTGCCAACTCCTCCTTTGTCATTTTTTTTGTGGAGCAGTGAGCCTGGTACAAATCTTTTACCTTCTTCATTGCATCATGGACACTCTTTTTACCAAGGCCCAGGAACAGGAAGATGGACCGCTGATGAGTAGTACAGAGGACACTTAGGTCTGTGTTAAAACAAGTCAAGCACTGATAGGTTATAAAAACACATCAACAGGATTCTGATAAACAGGAACTTGATGTTAACATTCATCAAACTACTTGTGTTACAACAGAAGGAAACATCTGTATTATTTGGTGTTTAAATATTTAAAAAAAAAACATCTACTGCAAAACTGAATAGTCTTCATGAACTTGTCCTTGAATAGTTCCCCTTTTCAATTACATCTATGCATTTTAAGAGTTTTATGCTGGCCTGTTTGTATACCTCCCTCATTTTTAACTCCTAGCCAGTTTTTGAACTTTGTATTTGTCCCTTTTTGCTAGTCTCATGTATAATTTCTAAATAAAAAGCTATACTCAAGCAAACTTGGACTGCCTCTTTGTTCTGCTGTTAGGTCACTGGCTCTTTTAGTCAGTATGTTTTGCTGATAGCACTTTGCATCTTTATTTTGACTGTTGAGCTCCTGCAGATTACAGTATTTATACTTTTACTTATCTAAATAACCTTTATGCTTCCATTTGTTTTGTGCTTTACATCTACCTTAGTTTACTTAACTCAATAGCTGTTGGTATACCTTGGTTTTCCCGTTTCATGCTCAAGTTGTTTTTGTAGGAGGCACCGTAAACCTGCAAATACAAATGCATGCAGTAAACACCATCTTTTTATGACATGTGTTGTTATCGAACTGTTAATAGAATAAAATAGAAATAATCTAACCTGTTGAACCAAACTGCTAACATCAACATATGGGATTGTTGTGGTATCCATAGTCCTCATGGACCTTCCAGTAATCAAAGTTTGGGGTGTGATAGTAAGTGTGTTGCTGGCATATGCTTTTGTGCTCACATTTGGGGTGACTACAGTTTGCTTTTCTTGGATGATGACACAACAGGAGTTCTCTACCAGCTCTCTACTCACTTTACCCTGAGTCTTGAAGTACCGCTGAGCCCCTGCTCCATCCAGACCCAAAGTTTCTATTGTCAGACTGGTTAGAGCTGACGTTAGGGCCTGTTTGGCCTCCTGAACCTGGCATCGGGGTCCAGATAGAGACACATGTGGATTTGGAACATGTGAGGCTCTTAAAGGAACCTTGGTCTGTTTCATGCCAGTCAGGTCTAAGATTTTATGAAAACAGTCAACCATTTCAGGATGAAGCAGAGAGATTTTTTCTTGAGTTGTAACTTGATTCAACTGGAAGTCGTGAAGAACATCAGTGAGCTTGCTCACATTTTCACTGTAGCCCACCAGTCTTACTTTGGTTGCGGCAGATCCATTAGATCCTGGGACAAAGCTGATATCCACTTTGAGCTCATGAAAGTTTTCTTTGTTCTTGGCTTTCATCAGGACTTCTTTCATCCTGTCAAGATCTGGAGATACCGCTGCATTTCCCTGCAGCTTCACAATCTCCACACTCAGATCGTTCACCACAGCTGCCAGAGCCTCATCCAGGTCAGCAGAGGACAAACTAGACAGAACCAGATCTGATCCCACTTCTATGAAAACAGGATGTCTAAAGTTTTGAAAGAGAGTCTGGTACTTGGAGATGGCACGGCTGGATTTGATAAAAGTCCTTAAATCTGCTGGGAGCTTGACTCTCTTTTCTGATATTTGCCTTATTAGTTCCTCAAGTTTAGTAGCTCCTAGCTGCTCCTCCTCGTCACTGCTTTCCAAGAACATTGTGTTCCTTTTCCCTCCCATGATTGAAGCCTCTGGCCAATGAGTGCACATGACTCAGTGAAACTCTTCTTCCAGTTTGAACTGCTTCTCCTTCAAGAAATCTTTAGTAAAAATCTGGTGGAAAAAAAGTACTGGATTTCAGAAATGTAATGTACAAAGATTAAATTTACATTTCTGTAAATCTGTCAAGTACTATCTAGTCAAAATGAACATCCATTGGTTTTAATTTTGAACTCCAGTATGAACACAAATCCCCCAACCTGAGGATCACCACAACATGATCTAACACACCTACACCTTAGTTCACAGATTCACTTTGTCTAGGCTTTATTTCTGAGATTTCACACAACCCAGGATTCAAATCATGAATACATAATGGGCTTGGATTTACATCATTTTGAATGAAATGTGCTCTATTTGGAAGCAGCAGGGCCCCCTCCCCTTTCGACAGGTTGTGTGTGAGACTTTAAATCATCAAACTGTAAAATATACATTTTAAATTGTTATTGATCCCTTTACCCCTGGTCCTAAAGTGTGTATTTATTTTCTTACTCTTCTTATATTTGTTGTTTGTTTACTTGCACTGCTGTAACTGGAGCCTTGTCGTCTTGTCTCTCTACTGGACTGTATGTAGCCGAGATGACAATAAAGTTTACTTTGACTTCAGCAGCGAGCAGGCGCACCGAGGGCTCTCGCACTCGCGTATAGAATTTCGAAAAAACATCGGTGCAAATTATAAATCTGTATCATAATGTCTGGTGTTTTCGTGTTTGTTGTTTTGTTTTTATTTTATTTTGCGAGTTGGTTATTAGATGCTGCTCCCGCATCCCCGCCGCCCCGCCCTCTCCTCCCTGAGCCGCAAGCAGTAGGCGCACCTCGCAAACAGAGGGCGCCCTTACTCCCAGCAAATGGGCGATAGAAAACCGATCGGTGCCTATGACATTCCCAATATGCGCTGGCTGATGTCGGGGCAGCGTGAGTACGAGCATTTTTTTTTAATTTTTTTTTTGCCGATGCCCGTGAATCCGCCCCCCACCACGATGCCGCACCGGGCAACTGCCCGTGTGCTGAATGTGCTGTTATTATGTGTGTAAATTATTTTTAAATATATCAGCATACATTACAAAATTTAAAGGTCGGTGTTACATTATTGGTTACCGGTGGCTGATGGTTGACGTGAGGATTTAATATTTTGAAGAAAATTAGTCTGACACTTACTTTGATCAGGTTCTTTACACGGAAGTGTGTTTGGTTTTGCACTTTATAAAGGAAGTGCAAAACCAAACAACCCTCCCCTTTTATAGAGCGGAAACAAGTCCAAGTTAAAGCTAGACTGAAACTGCAAAGCATTTTGCTGACTGTGGTACTGGCAGTGACTGGTTATAACCACAAATCATGAAATACCATGAACTTTATCTTCTGTTTGTTTTTCTGTCTTTGGATGTGGACGATCCCTTTACCTTCACTTTACATTCACCTTTATTGGGCCACCCTTCTTAATCTTTAAATTCTGGTGTTTTCAGTCTCATTGCCACAGGTGTATAAAATCAAGCGCCTAGCCATGAAGTCTGCCTTTACAAACATTTTTGAAAGAAATTGTTCTTGTGTCATTGTAAAAAGGACACGGAAGTGAGCATGGCGTTGTGACAGGATGTCACCACGGCAACAGGTTAGTTTATGAAATAACCTGCTGGGATGGTGTCTATCCAACCCAGCAGGATAGACCCGTTTCCCAAATGTAGTTTTTATCCGGTGGGGGAACTACCAGAAAGAAACGCAAGTGTAGCCATAGTAAAACCTTGGGAGCTACTACTTTGTTTTTATTATTGCATGGTGTAGATATGGAAGTGACAAAGAATGATTGTAAGATCATAAATGAGCTATGTTTATTGTTATTCATTGAGGTAATTAGAGAAATTACATACAAATAGAATATATTTATCCTTCACATGATACATGCCTAATCTCTTACTTTGTGAAAGAAAGTTTCTACTCTTTTTACTGACCTCTCAGCATTAGTTTCATGTCTGACACTGTCCCCCATAAACATGACCCAGATTGTTTGTTGGCTAGTTAAGACAGAGTTTTTACACATAACACAATTTAAGCACACTGGGATTCCTTACCTTCTTTTCCACTAATTCCATATTCAAATCCCTCAGAAGGCCAACTTCTTATTTTGATGTTTTCTCTCCCTTTGATCTGATTATAAAGTACAATAATGGCATTTTACCTACAATACCTACAATATGTTTTATACAAGTCCTCTATATCTTACGTCTCCATAGACCACATTCCTGAGAAAGCATTAATCTCCCAGGGTTTTTTTTTTCTGTTTCGCTTTCCTGTAAGTCCCTGTAACCTCCATTGGCATGTCATAATCACAGACACACCTAGATATGAAAATAGGTCACTGGGTTTCATATGGTGAATTTCCTTGTTTGTCCTGCTGGGATGGTAACATTTAGGGAACTTGCTAGAGTAGAAGTATCTTTATTACGAGCAATACTGGAGCGGGTACTGTTTTTAACTTGTCTGTCTGTCACGGACCCGGCTCTGGAGGACTCGGGGGTTCGTGAGCAGTGGTTATTATTATTATTATTATTATTATTATTATTATTATTATTATTATTATTATTATTTATTTTATTTTAATTTTTATTTTTTTTTTTTTTTTTTTTTTTTTTTTTTTTTTTTTTTTTTTTTTTTTTTTTTTTTTTTTTTTTTTTTTTTTTTTTTTTTTTTTTTTTTTTTTTTTTTTTTTTATATTATTATTATTATTTGGGGTCTGTGTCGTCTACTGTTTTGTCCACGTTTGTATGTAGAGTGTGTGTGCGTGTGTCTGCTTCTCTCTCTCTCCCCCCGGTCCTCGGGGCTGTTTACGGAAGTGCGCACCGTGGGAAAGGCGTGACCTGGCGACTGTCGTCATCGGGAGTACCGATGTAGACAGAGGTATTTAACCGGGACTCGCGGCGACAGTCGACGTGGGATTATTACTCCTGACTGAGATGTGTGTTCTTGGTAGTCGGCTAGCGTGTGTGGCTAATTGTGGATTGTCCTTCTTCCTCCAGGAGAGGCGAGGGGAGAAGCGAGTGGGGAGCACAAACACTAGGGAGTTACAACACGGAACGCACTGGGAGCAAGGGACGAGCACGATTGGAAAATTGCACTTCTGAGTGAATTGTTGGACTTGCCTGTCTATTTCACTGTAAATAAAGTGCACTGTGGCATCTCAGAGTCCTGCGTTTTGGGTCCTACTTTCCTCGTCCCCACGGTCTGTGTGGCTGAGTAAAATGTGCTTGTGGAGAAATCTACTGTTGAGGAAATTACCAGACAGATATTAAATAACTCATTTCAAACACTGACATGACAATAGAAACTCTGATTTTGAAGGGGCATGGTCTTACTTACCAAATAGTCATGAATAAATGTAGTACTTGTATCAGTATGACTGTGAAAAATTCTCAAGGCAGGTTTGAGTGTTTGTAAAGAAGGCAGCTGGACTTCTTTTTGGTTCATGAAGAAGTTTTACCTCTTGTACAAGAGGCTTCTTTAGCTCTCTGAAATACATACACTTTAAGAAACACTTAAAACATGTGATTCTCCAAACCATCATTAAATCAGAGGAGAAAAAATATGCTCCTCTCTTTGAAGTCACAGTTATATATAATGTTTTTAAAAGAGATCTGAAGTCTGCTGATTATCTATTCTGCTATCTATTTATCTATTTAAATTGTTATTACTACACGAAGTACCTGTTAAATATGGCAATGACAGACTTTAAAAACAACTTTACAACTTTAAAAAGTTGCAAAGTCGTCTTCTGTAACAGCAATGTGAGGCCACTTTTCCACACAAGCCCTCATAGGTATTTATGTTTTTTGATGATGTTGTTTTTACACATTTAACAGCTGTAACTCTATCGGTTGTAAAGCAGACATAAGTTAGGATATGAACATTTCAATTCATGCATTGAGATTTCAAACAACACAAAAAGAAAAAAGAAGGCTAAACTGAAGCAATAAATAAGTTGTGCAACAATACTGCAGTAATGTTGCTGTGTTAGCAGACCATCCACTAGATGTCATACTGAGACTAGAAATTGCATCAATTCTGTTAACAATAACATAGCAGCTGTGAATTTGTCAAAAAAAAAAAAACAGAAAGTAAATTCATGCAGGAGTGTTAATATCCCAGGAAGGATGTTTATTCTTGCTTTGATTTGCAGACATGCTCACAAATTCAAAAACTTTGGCATTTACATTTGCTGTAATCACAAACTTACAAATAAATGTTGTGGCTGGTTATTTTTTTTCTGTGCTCAGCAGAACAGAGTGCATTTCACACATTTCTGTTGGTGCTAAGCTACTTGAGGTATTCAAGAAACTCAGATCACTATAAACAAACGTATGGGTGTGTTTTTGTTTTGTTTCTTTTACCAAAACCTAATATCTATCTGTATTTTATTACACACCTCTTCTGTCTCACAGATATGTAAGAAAAAAAGTGGATTTTCAGTATTTTGCTTGACTAAATATTTACGTAGCAGATTTTCTAATCACTTGCATCACCTGATGGACTCCATCTTTCAGCCCACTCACAGTCCAGCAGCCTGGATTAAAATGGTCTTCCAATACATACACACCCAGGACCTCAGTCAACTGCTTTAAGTGGTTCACATCATCTTGAGTGAGGCCTGCAAGTTCATCCTGCCTGAAGATTTGCGTAGTGCACTCAGCCTGATACAGACTTTTGAGATTTGCAGTGGCATTGTCAACATTTTTTCTGCATAGTCCAACAATCATGAAGGTGTAATGTTGAACTCTGGAGCTGGTAGAAAGCATGCTTGGGTCTATGTTCATAACTGGGGTGGCTTGTGCAACAACTGTAAAACAGATGATTTATGATCAGTCACAAATAGCTCAAAAATGAAAAAGGTGCCTCATGAGGAAGAGGAACAGCTGTTACCTGTGTTGATAACAGCAGATGGAAACATCTGCATTGCTCGCTTTTTAAATGCCAGGAAAACACTGAACTTGTTGAGGACAAGGCGAATGTTGGTGAGACACTGGAGAGGACGGAAAGTTGCACCAGTCTTAACCCCTTGGAGGATGGCATATGCAACGTGGTTGGGGTCCAAACCACCAGATCCTGGACAGCCATTCAAATAAAATATTTATATGTTTTCTGTTCACTTATGCATCTTTAATGTCTTGCCCACTACTCACCAGCAGAGATGGCAGGAATGGCCACAGACCTGTATCCAGAAGACTCACAAGTTTGAATGATAGAAAGCAGCTGTTTCTCAATGAGACTCACATTTTTTTCTCCACACACATGTAAAATAGCTTTACATGGGAACCCTCCAGGTGAGGTTGTTAAAATATCTCCCTTCTTTACTTTTGCTACACGGACACAACAAAAACATGATTAAGATGCTGCAAACTGTGTTTCAGAAATATATTGCAATTTTAAATGTGTATCTTCAGCCATTCTTCTCACCATTTCTGAGTTCAGCCTCAACCTGAGGTCCAGCCATAGTTAAGATTTTTTGGCATACACCACCTGTAGATCAATAATAATAACTTTTAAAAAAAATTTTTTACTACTTTCTACATTAGATACATACTGAAGATATCAAATATATGAAGCAAGATATGTGGAATTATGTAGCAAAGAAAACATTGATGAAATAACTCATAAAAATCATATCTTATATTTTAGATTTCTCAAAGTAGCTACTCTTTGCTTTGTTGACAGCGATGCAAAGCAAGAACACAAGGAATGGACATTAGACAGAAGGAAATCTGTGCTTTTGTCTGATGAGTCCAAATTTGAGATCTTTGGTTCCACCTGCTGTGTCTTTGTGTGACTCAGAAAAGGTGAAATGATGGTCTCTACATGCATGGTTCCTACCATGAAGCGTGGAGAAGGAGGTGTAACGCTGTGGGGGTGCTTTGATGGTGACACTGTTAGGGATTTATTTAAAAACTGAAGGCACACTGAACCAGCATGGCTACCACAGCACCCTGCAGCGACATGCCATGCCATCGGTTACACACCTCCAGGCTGTGTAAGTGATATCTGACCAAGAAGGAAAATGATGGAGTGCTGCTGCAGATGGCCTGGCCTCCACAGTCACCTGACATAAACCCAATCAAGTTGGTTTGGGATCAGATGGACTGCAGAGTGAGGGGGGGAAAGAGTCATCAAGCTCTCAGCATCTCTGGGAACTCCTTTAAGACTGATTAAAAACCATCTTAGGGGACTACCTCATGAAGCCCATCGACAGAATGCCAAGAGTGTGCAAAGCAGTAATCAAAGCAAGGGGTGGCTATTTTGAAGAATCTAAATTCTAAAACATGTTTTGAGTTATTTCACCATGTTTTTACTGCATAATCTAATGAATTCATTCATAGTTTTGATGCCTTTGGTGAGAATCTACAGTATAAATAGTCATAAAAATAAAGATAAACCATTAAATGAGTAGGTGTGTCCAAACTTTTGTCTGGTACCAACTGTGGAATGGAGCAATCTTCTGCCACCTTCTCTACATGGATGGTATCAAGGTTCACTGAATGGGACATCGATTCACTGATCCACACCACCAGGATATACAGCAATGACATCAGAATGTCATTCGGACTGGAGAAAAGTAGTCGGATGGTAACGAAGAGAAGAAAGGAAGTCAGAACAGAGGGGATCGCACTACCAGAAGTAAACATTGCAGACATAGAGGACAGCTACAAGTACTTGGGAATCCCACAGGCAAATGGGAACCACAAAGAGGCCGATAGGAACGCTGCAACTGCCAAGTACCCGCAGAGAAAAGCAAGTCCTGAGGAATCAGCTAAATGGCAAGAACAAGATCCCGATTATCAAAACCTACACCCTTCCCCGCTGGGATAATAAGCTGGCCTATGGAGGACATAGAAGCCTCTGGAAGGAAGGAAGGCAGGAGGGAGAAGGCAAGGGGCTAGTTGTTGTCCGAACCATGGTCCAGGATAAGACAAGAAACTTCCATGAGTACATCAGGAAGATGGCCCCAACTGACTGTGTGCTCAGTGAATACCTCAAGCAGTAGAAACCCAAGAATGAGGAGCAAGAAAAGGATGCATCATGGCAGGACAAGCCCCTGCACGGTATGTAGCACCAGCAGATAGAGGAAATAGCTGACATCCAGAATTCCTACCAATGGCTAGATAAAGCTTGACTAAAAGATAGCACAGAGGCACTAATCATGGCAGCACAGGAACAAGTACATAAGGAATAAGGAATCCAGGCTAAGGAATAAGTACAGGAATTAGTATAAGATCGATAGAGGCTGGGGTCTACCACATCAGGCAAAACCCCAGGTGCAGGCTGTGCAAAAATGCCCCTGAGACAAAATAAGACCAAAATGGAAGACTCCCCATAGGGGGTTGAGAAAGACTGTGCTAAGATCCTGTGGGACTTCCAGATACAGATGGACAAACTGGAAATGGCAAACCAACTGGACATAGTGGTGGTGGACAAGCAGTGGAAGATGGCCATCTTCCTCCACGTAGCAACACAACATCAGGAAGAAGGAACACGAAAAGCTGAAGAAGTTCCAAGAAATAAAGAAGATGTGGAGGGTACACTTAACAGTGGTCCCAGTGGTAAACAGAGCACTTGGTGCAGTGGCCCCCAAGCTAGGCGAGTGGCTCCAGCAGATCCAAGGAACAACATCCGAGATCTCTGTCCAGAAGAGCGCAGTCCTAGGAGCAGCAAAGTTGCTACATAGGACCCTCAAGCTCTCAGGCCTCTGGTAAAGGAGCCAAGCATGAAGGATAAAGACCACCAACCGGGGCTAGAGGGGATTTTTTTTTTCAAAGTATGTATAAAACCTAATTTGCCCTAAACATCCTACAGGTCAATGGAAATGTATTAGGTTTAGAGTTGGTTTTATTTTAGCCATGCATTTACAAACTGGAAAGTGATAAATCTGAAATTAAGCCTCACTTGTTTTGGCATTAAAGTTGGTATTATCTGTAAAAGGCTTTCTTATTTTAAATACATTTTGAAATTCTATCAAAAGGGGAGAGCCAACAGAACCCAAAAACGTATCTCTATTTTTCACCCTAGCTAGGCCACCAAGGACATGGATATTAGATGGTTTACCAGCATAAGGCTAAAGTGCATTTTCCCAGGAAACATGATTGAAACGCAACAGTTGATTAGATTCAAAAGTTCTCACCTTGAAAATTTGTGAAGTCAGTTGAGTTCACCACAACATCTGTAGTCTCATTAACAATGTCACCAAAAACCACTTCTAGTTCAACCCCACCTCGGACTTTCACAGTTATGCCAGTTAGGTCACTCTTGAGGGACTTGAAGGTGGCTGAAAAGACGAACACGACAACAAGATTCACATTTCTGATATCAACCTCCATGTCACTTGTTGAACCGTGGAAACAGTTAAATATTTGTTAAAAACACAACATTTCAAAGGTAGATTTTTGTCTGAATCAAAACAGTTCAACCAGCTCTGGTTTTACCTTGACCGCTCTGCTTGATCTTCAAGCTCAGCTGTCTGTAGACCTCATGGTAGCACTGTAGATACATGTTTGGTTTAAGCACCACCTTTCCAGAAATGTTTCTACAAACAATGCACAGTACTTAAAACTAAGAACAAACGCAAACTTGCCCTTACTTTGGTAACAAGTCCTGAGATTCTCTGGTTCTAACTAATGTTAAATGACATATCCTCTGTGTTGTGATCATTATCATCTGTGCTTTATGTTGCAATATTTACAAGAAAAACACAATAAACAGATGATCATACGTGAGAAAGAGCTCGGAGATGGCAGAAGGGAGATGCTCCCTTTTAACAGTGATACCTTAGCAGAAACATGCTTATGTACTGTAATTGCATTAATTTTTACTCCAGTAGCTCGGGTGGCACTGTCTAACACCTTCATTCCTACCCATATTACTAACACTCTCAGCAGGGAGTAATATGTATTTAATACAATGTAATAAAGTAATACTATGACCTGCTACTGCAGTAACTGATAGTGGAAAATAAAAATTTTAAAAAAGGGTTGCTGTATACAGCTATCGAAAAAGATCAAACTCTGTCACCTCCTCAGAGTCTTGATAGTCTGGTTTAATGACAATATAGATGTTGTGAAGAGATTCACATGACCCAGATAATCCAAACTGGTCAATGCTGTCAGTCAGCACTTGAATGGCTTCTTTCTGGGGATATTTCAGAACTACCCCGGGTCCAATGATTGGAAAGGCAATTGAACACCAGCCTTCCTCTACACAGAGTTCCAAACACCTTTTTAGCCCAATAGCAAGTGTCTGCAAAGGAGAAAACAGGAAAAACTTGTCTATGCGTTGGTCTCAGGGGTAAGGAGATTTACCATTTCCATTTACTGGTTTATGACTGTTTTTCTTACATGTTTAATGATTTTACTGTGTTTTTACTTTACCTGCATGCTGAGGCCATCAACTCCATCCCATGGCAGACACTCAATGAAGAAGATCTTAGAGCAGCTCAGAGCCGGAGGTGCATCAACCACCATAACATTACCAGCAGAAAGGGTCCACTTCCGAGCTATCAGATGAAAGACCTTCTGCAATGGATTTCCTGCTTTTTTCAGTAGACATTTACCAACTTTAGTGGAAGTAAGCTTTTTGGATACCATGGGGGCCACCACCACATTCACCTGTAGAAATTATGTGAAATAATACTAACATGTGGGACACATGCTGCTTGAATAGAAATTGTGAAATTGTTTAGAATATATTTGTTTAACCTGTTCATCTTCCAAAGTGCTAAGCTTGATCTCCAGGTTTGTTTTGTTAACAGCTGTTGTGTTTGGTGTACTTCTGGCAGTGTTGCTTTCCAGTCTGTCTGGGTTGGAGCTGATGACGTTAATGTATAGTGGCTCTGGGTAAAGATCAGACACACTTGTGGTACTTTGAGAATAAACTTCTTGTTGTTCCCTGATGATGACCTGACAGGATCTCTCTAACAGCTCTTTGTTTTGTCTGCCTTCTTCCTGGAAGTACAATTGCACCCCCGGTCCATTTAACATCACCGTATCAGTTGACAGCTGCGCTAGACTCGTGGCTAAGTCTGTCTGAACTTTCTGAACCAGAGAACGAGGACCCTTCACGAGCACACAGGGATGTGGGACATGTGAGGCTTCCAAGGTCACATTAGATTGCTTCATGCCAATCAGGTCTAACAATTTATCGAAGCAGTCAACCAGTTCAGGATGTGACAAGTTTACCACTTCTTGAATATCAACTTCATTCTTTTGGAAACCATGAAGGACCTCATTGAGCTTGTTAACATCCTCACTGTAGCCCACCAGTCGTACTTTAGTTATTGCAGTTCCAGTAACTCCTGGCATGAAGCTCACATCCACTCTGAGCTCACTAATGTTTGCTTCTTTCTTCGCTTTCATCAGGATTTCCTTCACTCTGTCTAAATCTGGAGGTACTGCTGCAGCTGTACAGTGGTCACTTTGAGTCTCTCATCACTGCTGCCTCAGCCTCATTCAGAGCATCAGAGGACAAACTGGACAGAACCAGATCTGAACCCACCTCAAAGAAAACAGGGTTTCTGAGGCTCTGCTGGAAACGAGCTTGGTATTTGGAGATGGCTCCACTGGTTTTGATGAAGGTTAGCAGAGCTGTGGGGAACTTGACTCTTTTTTCCTTTATGTTCTTAATCAGTTCATCTAGTTTTGCAGCTCCTGACTGCACATCTGTGTCAGGGCCCTCCAAAGTGATTGTGGCACTACCTCTGACGACTTTAACATCTGGATAGTTAGCGAACATTTCTCGATTGAACTCTTCTTCTATACGCCTGTACTGCTTCTCCACAATTGGCAGCTCTTTTTTGGTGTATTGAATGTTTTCCAGATCTGCAATCTTCTCCTTCACAGCATGGACCTCTCCCACAACCACAGCATAGCCATTCTCATTGTACACTTTGATGTCATCTGTCTTGAGGGAGGAGTCTTGCAGCAGCATCTTGATCTTTTTTGGCTCAAATACATGATAGCAGAGATAGTTCTCATTGAAACGGCTGAAAATCTGATCCAGCTGTAGCTCCTGTTTCTCTGCAGGGCATCCTGGCTGACTCTGACTGTCACCTCTAACTACAACATTTTCATCATCAAATTTTAATTCCACCGTGCAGCCGATATAAGAGAGCTGCTTCTGGAGAATTTTTAATGCCTTGGGTTTGTCTCTCAGATAATACAGGAGGAAAATATCTACGTTAAATGTCCTCTCGAGATGTTTTGTGATCACTTTTGTTGGTGCCTGAAAAAGAACCAAAAAAAAGCACATTTATCAGGTTATGCTTGAAAACCAATAAGAATTCTACATTTAAAAAATACATAAACATTAAACATAAGAGATAATAAAAAAAAATAAATAAATAAAATAAATAAAAACATAAGAGATAAGCTTACATGGACAGAGTGTTATTGACCAAATTGGTTGTTCTTTTTCAAATGTCTATCCAAGTTATAGGTGAATGTAAGTTATCTTAGTTTATAGAAGGCTTCCACTTTCTATAATGCTTTGGTTCTGGTAAAATAGAGTCTGCAGTATCACTAATTGTGAAAGTTTAGGCCAATGATTAAAAGCAGTTTGGTCAGTAGCAGATGACAGGTTTTTTGTTGTTTTTTGACAGTTTTATTTTATTTTTGTTATTTATTTCCATTTTTACAAATCAACAAGTCAACATATGTGGATACTAACTGTACTAAGTACAATTAGTACAAATATTGCTGATCTACAGAAAATTTCCTGCGCAATAGTCTCTGATAGGAAGGCAAAAATAACTCAAATAATTTGTCACAACTAAAGTATGCAAAAGCGCATCTCCGAATACACAACACGTCACTTGAAGCAGATGGGGTAAACCAGCAGGAGACTGCACCGAGTGCCACTCCTGTCAGCTAAGAGCAGGAAACTGACACGATATGTGAAGGCAAATTGCATGGATTGTTTATGTGAGGACCGAAACGCAGAGCACAGACGGGAACTGGAATTTAACTGAAACCGTGCCATTTATTTAGGCAGATATCCTGAACGAGAAAAACATAAATTATAAATTAAACAGAGGATCGATCGCCTGAACTGGGGAAATTAAGAAAACAAGACAATTACCCATTACTAGAAAAGCCTGGTTAAACCTCGTAAACTTGGGAAGGAACACAGAAGAGCCATGGGGGAAAAAACAGACACGACAATAAAGGTTGAGGGAAAACACAATATATATAGACAGGAGGTTTCCAGGGGAAGTGGAAACACACGGGGAACAAAACTGATACAAACGAACATGACACCAGGAAGCAAAACTAAACACACTGCACAAAGACCATGTCAAAATAAAATGGGAAAAAGGCAGACTAAGACACTCTGACTTAACAAGGGAACAGGGCAGTGAGAATGGGAGACGAGATGTGGACATAACTAAGGAGCACATACAGAGGACAAGATGGGCTGGGGAGAACACATGAACACATAAACAGAGACACACCGAGAGGAGCACAGAGGACAAAGACTCAAGGGAACCTAATAAAATGTAACTAAACTGATCATAAGTAAACTCAGAGATGTAATTAGAGTACATGTTTCCCAGCTGTGCTGATTCATTATCTTAGTGTTGGATAAAACTGCATTTCTAATAATCAGACATGGCGCATGTTTGGATTTTGCTTTGGGTGCCTTTTTTGAATGCCTGCACCTTTCAGGAATCCACCCAAACTGGTCAGGTCAGATTACCTGACAGTACATGGTGCAAAGTTTCCTTAGGAAAAAGAAAAAAGAAAACTTACCTGTGACTGACTGGTCGCTGACTGATTGAGGGTCTGTGGAGGTAAACTTGCTTGGCTCACTGTTAAATACTGTTTTCCACCAGAAATAGAGATGGCATGAAACTTTCTCAGCAAAACCCGCTCCTGAACTGTCAAAACAGCTAAATTCAGTCACCACATGTCACGGACAAAATCTTACATTTAAAAATGTAACTGCAAGAATGAAAGAAACAAAGAATCGCAAGTAACTTAGGGCAGCATATTGTTCTTTAGCTTTTTTAGCTCTTCTAATATTCAGTTAAGATGGTGAACATCATTCAACATGATTATATGCAGGGATGTGAATATGGACATGGTCACAGAGGTATTAGCATGAGTTTAAACTGTTTACACATATTTTTGTTTACATAAATAAAAAAAATACCTTCTTTGTCCTTGAAACAGATTTTATAGGTGTTGCCTTCAACCTCTGCAGGAATTCCACACTCACCACCTCCAGAGTCTTCTCCTCTCTGAAAGTATCTCCAGATATCCTGAATATCATTGCCAGAGAGACCTTTGACTTCAAAAAACAGGGGATGTGTGTATTTATCCATTTCCCCTAATATTCTAAACTAAAAGGAGACATTTGGATACAGTTAACTCCCTTTTGTGTCACTGCTCTGTGTGAAAATGTGCACTGAAACCCTTTTTCATCGTCTACTTTCAGTAAAGTTCCTCCTCCTTTCATTTACAAGTAGACACACCTAATGTTGACCTTAAAGGGTATTTTACAGTTTTTCTTGTTGTGCAAGTATGTGTCTTTTCTTTTTCAAATTATGCTGAAAACACTGAACATCAAAACACGATGTTAATAATGACGCCTGACTATTGTGATGATTTGTGTTTGTCTAATGAGGAGCTTATTTCCAGATAGATAGATAGATAGATAGATAGATACATGCGTGCTCAAAATCTGGGTAACCATTTTGATTGCAAGGACATTTCACGGGACACCTGGTGGGAAGAAACCTGTCTCTAAGCAAACACAGTTCAACTTAGACTGACTTTTGAAGGTTTGTAAATATTCACAGTTCAATTCATAACCAAATAAAAATCGGCACCGCATTGCAATAAACCTGAGTTACTCTGTGCCGATGAGCTCAACCTGTCTGTTTGCAAAAGGTGACTGAACTGGCTGCCAGCTGCTTGTATTTAGTAATATTTCTATAGAAAAGAACTCTATGAACTTCTTGTTGGAGTGAAAAAAATTTTAAAGGTAATTTTCTGTGTATATAGATTACAACAAATTTGCAATTCTTTGCAATCTTAATACGATTTCAAAAATATTAAGTTATCCAAAATGTAAAGAATAACATTTTAATAATAAAGGACATTTAACGTAGATATTTTCCTCCTGTATTATCTGAGAGACAAACCCAAGGCATTAATAATAAATAAGAGAAAGAAGATGGATGGATGGTAAAGAATAACTTAAAGTTAAATACTGTAAATAAACATAAAATTAATAGTAAACCAGTTATTAGTTCTATAACATTAAATAGATCTGTTTGAGAGATTGTTTAAGTATAAAAACATTCATGAGAATAACTTTAAATAGCTGCATTTATAAACAAAACAACATGTTTATCAATTCAAACAGCAACTTTTGCAATTATTTTACAGTTGGTTACTTTGTTAAAAATCAACGATTTTTAATCTTTAGTTTAACAGCAGAGGACTTTGAGCAGGGAAGTAAACAGAGATTTCCACAACGAGTTTAGTTTGCTTAGCTAGATTTGTTCCCAAAGTATCAGCTGAAGGGATCTGGCAACGAATGAATGAAAGGAGCATTTGGTAATTTATTTCAGGTGGTGATGAGTAGTTTAGAAACAGGAATATCAGCCTGACACTTGGTAAACAACTGAGGAAACACGCCTACATTTGTCCCACAGAAAGGTATTCTGCCATTCATACTCTCACACACATGGAAAAAGGAGGAAGCGAGAGAGGAGGTGAAGAGAGGCGACGCACAGAAGCCATATTACAATACTAGAGCTTTTAATTTGAAATAATTACATGAAGTGCTAAGTTTATATTAATTCTTTGTTTTAGGATTTGATTGCTGCCTTCACCTCTCCGTGGCGAATCGCCCGACCTTAATTGGAGAATTGAGACGCTTGCCTAGTCGCTGTTTGAGGGCTCCTCCTCAGTGGAGCTGCTGTCTTGTCTGGTGTCATATTTTATTTCCGTGGGACTGTCTGTTAGGTGTGGCTGTGTGCAGGCAGGAATAGGACCCAAGGTGCAGACTCCGGAGACAGAACTTAAAC